TTTAAACTGTCAAACACCAAGCGGTCACCGGTGACCGCAACCTATTGTTCCGAAAACCGGTACTCGACGAGTTAAGATGTAGATGTCGAGTACTTATTCCAGTATTCTTTTCTTCTAAATCTTCACTGACCTTATTGAATTGCTTGCTCTGAAAAAAAAAGATATTTAAAAGTGTATTACGTAACAAAAGCGGGCTATTCATAAAAGTGGTATTTGAAAGTATTTTTTCGTTTCCATTCTCAATAATGTTTGACGTTGAACAGAAGATTGTCACAAACGATATGGAAGGGATCACACCCGTGTGTCAACTTTATCAATTAAAAGTTTGCCGCAAATCGATACTTGTGTCTTGTTTGTATCAGTCGAATATTGCTTGACACTTCATTGGCCGCCATGATGGAATTAAGATGGATTCGTTTGAGTTTTATCCTTTCCCTTAAACTGTCAAACACCAAGCGGTCACCGGTGACCGCAACCTATTGTTCTATAACTGTGTCTACAAAACCGGTACTCGACGAGTTAATAGTGTTTGGGAATACTTGTTATCCTATAAATATATATATATTAATAACATAACATTACGTTTTTTATTCCTGAAGGGGTACACAGACATACACATTACGGCACTTAATGCCACTGTACAATTTAATACCCACTTTTCACTATTTATGTTATGAGTCCCACGTAATAGGGGGTGAGCTTATTGCCATATACCTGGTACATGTCCAGACTCCGTGTCACTTCTGAGATTAAAAAGACCCAGTAATACTTTGCCCGACCCGGGAATCGAACCCGAGACCCCTTGCCCGGCAGTCGCACTTGCGACCACTCGGTCAATGAGGTAGTAAATATTAATAGCCCATGGCAAATTCCTGATACCTCTGATAGGCTATGGAGCCGGCTTGAACAGGGCTTGCTTTAAGTTTCACGCCTGGCAAATAAACGCACCGACTGATGATGATAATCAACTAGAAAGCAGAAGAATTGGGTACTTACCTTAATAAAAAATAAATTATTTCGTCTGTTCAATACAATAAAATATTAAAAAATAATCACAATTTCATTAATTGATTTTATTACGAATTTAATTTTAATATTTTTCCCAAAAAATTTTTAAGAAACAATTATACTGCTAGACGCTAAAAAACTTGACGTCACAATTCACAATCTCGTACAAAATTCATAGAATACGGTCGTTTTTGACAGTTCGAAAAAAGTAAAGTGAATTTGATTAGTAGGCAAATGCCCAATTAGACCGCTCTTTCTTAAAAATGACTCAGGTCCCTTTGTGAATATGAGCCTTAATTTAAATCTACCTCTACATAATTTAATCAATCCATATTAAACTGTCAAACACCAAGCGGTCACCGGTGACCGCAACCTATTGTTCTATAATTGTGTCTGCAAAACCGGTACTCGACGAGTTAAAGCTAACATCACCACACCAAAACTAAAATTATATCGTGTGAACTAACGAACATAAACGGTTTGTAAACACGAAGTTAAAGTTTAACTGTGAGTTAAAACAATGGGAGTGTTGCCCGATAAACAGCTCAAGATAAAGCGTTCAACAACTTTATATCATGAATGTTGCCAGCTAACAGTTTTAAATGACAATTTACTGGCTCGCCTGGACTCTGCACAAATTGCTAGATTTATAAATTAAATATATTTGACCAAAGAGTGCTGTTCTGCAGCTCAAGATATTCTGTTAGGGTTGTCTGTGGCTGTGCAATGAATTCTGTTGAGAATGCTCTAGTGGTTTGTTAGTGACTGTTTATTTTAATAATATTTTGTCGTTGGAAAAATGTTAATTTCTGTTTCTCATTTTATTAAAGCTTTTAAGAAAGGATAAGTAGAGGTATAGCAATTGCAACCTCAAATTCGGAAAATCGTAGTTAGGTACCAACTTTATTTCTGGGGGGCGTTGCAAAAATGGCCAATGACACTCGAATGTATATAATAATTTAAACCACATGGTTGTTATTTATTAATTTTTTCAGTTTACTCACGTAATTATTTGACGAGGAACTCGACTAGTTTCAAGCCATGCTAGAGGCTCATATTAGAAACTATTTGAGTTTCTCGTCAAATAATTACGTGAGTAGTGTCTAACGACAGTTACAACATATACACGATTGCTACCTGGTTTATGACTATACTAAAATGTGGATATCTACTTATCTCTTCGCAATAAAAAAAAAACTACAACCGCACTTGATCTATTAAAATAAATACACATTATACCTACATATATTATACATATACATTATACCTATATTGTACTTAATCAACGGCTTTTTTTTTTTTTTTTTAAGGGGGGAAAATCATCGAATGACTGCTCCCGCCTGGGTGAGGCGGAAGGGAGTGTCAGACTCTTACTGACTAAAAACCACCCCGTTCCTTCTCCTGCACGTCGAGCCGGAGCCCCGGTTACCCGTTAGGTTCTCCGCGACTCCGAATCGGCATCGGCCCTATTGGGTCCCATCTGTGGTGGTCTGATGGCTCTTTGAGGCGCGCGCGGAACGCGACGCGCCGTACGCTCGGGTTTAATCAACGGCTAGGTATATGACATAAAAATCTACCTGTTTTACCTGCAAATTCCAAAAATATCGCGAGTGTACAAGGACCGGTGGGAAGGGATAAAATTAACGTGTGAAATCAATACATCAGAGCCGAGCGTAAGGCAATTAGCTACGGATTTTGAATTCAACGGCTATAGAGAAACTTATACGTGCTTATACGATGAAATGAATTTTTGGAAAACAAGAAGATGTATATTCTACTAATATTAGTGCGTGACAGACTATTATTTATTTTGTATTTGTTGATGATTCAAATGTACCAATGCCAATACCAATGTTATGGTTTAATTGAAATAAATGCTTTGACTTGACTGCACGGTTGTGCGGTGGCTGAGCAACCGGCTGCCGTGCAAGGTGGTTTCGACTCCCGTACGAAACAACACTGTGTGATCCACAGATTGTTGTTCCGGGTGTGGGTGTCATTGTGTATGTGAACTTGTATATTTGTAAACGCATCTACGACACAGGAGAAAATCCTAAGGTCCCGCAACGTTTAAAAAAACAACGACTTTGATTTTGACGTGTTTGTTATTCTTTTACGTCAAAATAGCTAAAACAATTGAAATGATAATTGTAACAGAGGTAGGTTATGGTCTAGAATAACACATAGGCCACTTTTTGGGGAATGCGGGCGAAGCCGCTGTAAGTAGCTAGTCCTTTACTAGATGGAAGTAGATTTATTATCTCCGTTGACTATTTTTTTCCATTTCTATCCAATGGCACCATGCAACTCTGAAGATATCTTCTTCAGTCCACGTTACGCTTGAGGACACTCGAGCACTTTCCTGGCTAATATGTCCTTCATGTGAAAATTAGTCTAGGAATGTGACTCGTCCAATACCACTATAGGATTGTGAAAGCGACATCAGTGGTTCTATTTCGTAGATAGACGAGTTGCCATATTCCACTATAATGTAAGCCTAAAAGTGCGCTTATGTACCATTTCTTTATACAACATTGTATACAATATAAATGTATAATATTCTATTTTATAACTCCGGGTAGCAGAAAGAGCATAAAATGCTAGTTTGCAGAGAAATCTCTCGTATTTCGATCAAATGCTTTCCTTGCTTCAATTGGCACGCGAGCATTGAATAGCGTGCTACACTATTACAGTTCCCTGGAAAAGCCGTTTACTTGAAGGGGTCTTGCTACCATTACTGAACGGTTTAGAAATATATTCTAATGGCAGAGAAACGGAAAAAAAAACTTTAAGCTTGTGATAAGTAAAAAAAAATTGACTAGTTATTAAAAAAGAATAATAAGAGTAGACTGCCTCGTTGGCCGAGTGATCGCAAGTGCGACTGCCGGGCAAGGGGTCTCTGGTTTGATTCCCGTGTCGGGCAAAGTATTACTGGTTTTTTTTAAATCTCAGTAGCAGTACGGAGTCTGGAATTATGCCCGGTATACGTCAATAGGCTCATCCCATATTAAATAGAACTCATAACATAAATAGTGAAAAGTGGGTGTTACACTGTACAGTGACCTCTGCCTACCCTTAATGTAAGTATGCAGATGTTCTCGGCGTACTCGATTACAGTTCATGGTCCAAATCATTGTCATATACGGCCTGTTTCTGGCATTCAGCCAGAAGACTTTTGACTTTTGAATAGTGCGTTAATGATTTTGATGTTATTTTTTTAATAATGCGTTAGTTTATAGAGACTTGAAATTTTAATAATTATAAAATATATGTTGAATCCAGGATAACATATAAAGAAAAAGAAATCTTCCTAGGTTTAAGTATCAATTTCAACAAAAGAAAAGCATAAAAATACATTTTGTCTAGAAAATAGGAAACTAACAGAGATGTTATCATGTTTGCACCTAGTTGTATATTTTACTCAGCAAACATAGAGCTTTCCCAGAAGCCCTGTGTAAGGGATCCATGACAAGCGTAGCTTTACCGACAAGATGGATCGGCCATCGGTTAGTTCACGAACACAACCCCTTCTACAACCTTGGAACACGAAGTCCATTTATTTCGCTTATCTAAAATAGATAACATTTTAGTGGTTCGAATTAAAAAAGAAAATTCCAGTCCATAAAGTTTTAATCTTGACACTACGATATGAATCTGTAAAAAATTAGGCAAATTTTCCCATTAATTTTATGTTCGTGGAGGAATTGGGCCTTACTATCGCTTAATGATAAAGTCCTAGACTTTTAAACTCCAGTTTTATTGTTGACGGGGGAAACCTTAATAAGGTGCCTAGCTATTTGGGGAAAAAGACCAGGGAGTGTGAGATTTTACCTCAATAAAACCTCCCCGGTCGCCACCATCCGCACCTCAAGGAGGCACCGGGTTTTCTTAGAAGACCAACCCTGGAGCTATCGAGATTTGTAAATTTCTACAAATCTTTCTAGGTATAAACCACGTCTTTTAGCATTTTGTGGTAAAAAAAACACCAATTTAAACAAACATATTTATTAAAAAGAACGTTTCCTCAAATTATATTCATAGTGAGATACTCCGAGAAAGAATCTGTACACAATCCCAGCTACCAGACCACCCGAAAGGGGTCCAGCCCAGTAAACCCAGACGGCATCATAGATCCCCATCATTACTGCTGGTCCTAACGACCGGACAGGGTTGAGAGAGGAGGTGTAGGGTATACTTGCACAATAACAACCTGTGATGCACATGCCGATGGCCAAAGGAGAAGACCCAAGTCCCCTAGACCCTCTTTTGGAGTCCAATACACTTAATACAACAGATACAAGGAGGAAGGTCATCAGGAACTCCAGAGCGAATGCCTGTTCGTGTCTGGTCTCAGTGTAAGGTAGTGTGGCTCCGAGGTTTCCTCTGATTTTGGCTGCTGACACTAAGTATGCCACTGCTGAACCTGATGGTATAGAAAAGTTGAGTTGGTTAAAGATTTTTTACTTAAGAGAGCAGTGTAAAACAGACTTTTTTTTTAAAAGGGGTAACGAATGGAGTTTCTTTCTCGTTCTTCTTCATTCGAATTGACATTTTGGAACGAGCGCCTAGCTTCACTGACGGACAGACTGACAGACTATTATTTATTTCATATTTGTTGACGTTTCAAAAGTACCAAATTATGGTTTAATTGAAATAAATGCTTTTGAGTTTGAGTTTGATTTTGGGTTTGAAGATATTAGAACTAGATTAGATTATATTCATATTGTTTTAGAAGTACTTGTTATACTGAGAAAAGCTCTACTAGTTTCGAACCACAGAGGGGTGCTTCCTCACGAGCAGCGTGCGCGGTCGCGGCGATGTCAGTAGGCTGCGCGACATCGCTGCGACCCCCTGAAGAGAGAATCCTTCTGTGGTTCGAAACTAGTAGAACTTTTCTCAGTATATTCACGTGAGTTACTCGCGATTTTTAGTTAATGTAGTATATTACACGATAGTTATTTTAAAAACAAATTAGTTTGTTTTGGAAATCAATAATTTTTCAGATGTTTTTGAATTTCTTCATATAAATAGTAAAATAACGACTCTATTCAATTAAAACGTTAACCTACTCATTTGAAGGCTGCTAGCGTAAAAACACCGTCCTTTACATAAAAGATAATTATAGTTTAATTAAAATAAAGTTAAGTCCTCATTAATTTATTGTCTGGCGTCTCGTACGTAGGATCCATTTGAGGCAAGGCAATTAATTTCAGTACTTATGATAAAACGAAGCTAGTGTAATGAGTAATGAAATTTCTTTTCTTATTTTCACTAAAACTGATGTAGTAAATTATTTCGAATTAAAACCTTAATGTAGACATTAAAGTGGCAGTAAATTACTTGGTTATATTAGAAGATTAGAACAGTTTAGTTAATAAAGGAAGAAATAGTCATTATTTTATTGCGTTTCATTTTTATTTAAAACTAGCTGACCCGGCAAGTTTCGTACCGCCTAAAAGTTTTTTCTCACCTATTAAACCTTCCCTAGACTTCCACGAACCTATCAAAACCAAAATTAGCCAAATCAGTTCAGCCGTCCTCGAATTTTAGCGAGACTAACGAACAGAAATTCATTTTTATTTATATAGATAGATTACCGTCGATTGCAAGTCGATAGTTCGAATTTTTAAACTTTATAACTTCGAAATTATCACATTCATATAGCATTAAACACCCCCAAAAAAAAAACAACACAAATTAACACACAATTTCGACAACACTACAAATTCTAACCACAAATATTCACACGTCAAAACCAGGACCTACCTGCAACGCTACCCAAAACTTGCATAGCGACAAAGCACACGGCTTTCAATGGCTTTATATGTCCACATACAAGAGCTCCGACGGTTACAGCAGGATTTATATGGCCACCAGACACATGGCCACACATCTGCACTATACTTGCAACAACTAAACCATTAGCCAATGAAATTACAACAGTATTATTATTAGTCTCATTAGCGATTCCAGCAGACAAAACTATGCATAAATACAAGAAGGTTCCGAGGAATTCGGAAAATAATTGCTTGAAGAGTTTTCTGTAGTTTTTCATCTCCTTCGTGCCTAGACAGCGGCCTATGGCGTGCATTGTAATTGTTACTGGATAAGCCAACTAGATTAAGATCGAGGTTGGTTTCAATTGAGCGTTAGGAAGGTTGTACAATAGATTAAGTCGTTTTGTTCATTGTTAACTGAACTATAATTTCTGAAACAATTTTTTCTTAGTTTATAGTTCAATAACATAGAGATAAAAGTTCTAATAATATTGTAATAACATAACATCACGCCTTTTTATCCCTGAAGGGATAGGCAGAGGTGCACATTTCGGCACTTAATGCCACTGTACAACGTAACACCTACTTTTCACTATTTAAGTTATAAGTCCCATGTAATAGGCGGTGAGCGTATTGCCATATACCGGGCATATTTCCAGACTCCGTGCTACTACTGAGATTTTTAAAAACCCAGTAATATTTTGCCGGTAAGTCAAAACCCGGTAGTCGCACTTGCGACCACTCGGCCAACGAGGCACTCTAATATATTGTAATACATTTATCTTATTATTGTTTTATAAAATCATTTCATCATTTATACACAACTTACGGGTTAACCGATGTAGACACGATAGTTAGCACTTCGATAAGAGCTAATATATCACACGGAGTTATAACCGGTATTATTCTACAATTTTTTATTTAAAGGAGTGCAGTTTTGTGTTTGATCATCGCCTTTGTGTTCCCAGCTTAAGGATAGTCATCTTGAAATATTTGTTGAAGCTAAAACCTTATTAGGCTTAAAGGCTAAGTTTATTAATTTTGTCGCGGAGAACCTAACGGGTAACCGGGGCTCCGGCTCGACGTGCAGGAGAAGGAACGGGGTGGTTTTTAGTCAGTAAGAGTCTGACACTCCCTCCCGCCTCACCCAGGCGGGGGCAGTCATGCGATGATTTTCCCCCCTTAAAAAAAAAAAAAAAAGTTTATTATTTTTCGATAGAACTCTTTATTATTAAGTCTTTCTCAAAGATATTGGTGTTTAAAGGACAATGCCAGGTGCTCAGTACATCCTTGACCCACTATATTAGAAGTCATGTACAAGTATGCAGTATTCAGCATCGTGTAGTGTATTAATTACCGATACCTAAACATTTGTCCTGAAACCTGTAAAAACTTGCGGTTTTTGTTTAAAACACAAAACAATAATGATAACTATCGCGAAAACAACGGAAACGCAGAGAGCGAATGAAAGATAATATTGACACTGACAGCTGACAGCTGACGAGCGCTTCAAAACGTTTCGTTACACGAAAAAATCATAGCAAATGGTAGTAATCGTTTCTTTTATATTTTCGTGATTTCATCTGTAATTATTAATAAATAAATAAATGTTATACATAATTATACTTTTGATATAATATTTTATGTATAATGATATCTTTTTTACAGTTACTTACTTTTTTATTTTCATAGTTCCGTACAAGCGATGCGTATGATGTAACGCAAATAGTCATTAGACAATATGGAATACGCATTGCAAAAAAGTATTTCCGGGATTGAACTTCTTTTTTTATTAAATTGTAAACCGCAAGTTTAAAAATAAAAAGATTTATTATGAAAAGGTTCCTTAGTCGTCAAAATTATTTTCATCAATTTACTTTTTTTGTAAATGATAATATGACTGGGTCAGGATTTGGCATTGTCATTTAATTACCAATATAGCTTGCGGAAGTTCGATATATTTTGTACTAATTAGATACACTTTTTTGTTGGCAATAGGGATGATGACAGGGTCTAAAAATAAAAAATCTAATTAGTCCGTCAGTTAGGTAATGAAAAAATATTAGACACGTATTTTTTATTTTGTTGTATAATAAAATGATACTTAGACAAAACGAATCAAAGCTTAGGAGTGGGGCTTAAACGTCATTTCTACGTATAAAATGTACATAGAAGTGACGTCACGCGACATTTCAAATCAATACATCGTCAAAAGAATTCGTTTATGTAAAAAAAAAAATACGTGTGTAATGTTTTAAAATAATCATTGCTTATAGGATTATCTGATCTGTTTAATTTTGTTAATATTCGTTAATATTAATGTTTTATTAAATGAATTGAAGATACACATCGAGCATTATTTTCCATAAGATTACACTAATACTCTTCACTAGTTTTGCAATGGAGTTCGCAATGGGGTCAATGTATACCAATAATGTTGTGTTCGAAGATAGTTATGATTGAATGATATAGGAAAATATATGTATATGTTAACCAAAATGCCAAGTTGTAAGTAAGAGTTTTTCTAAAACTTTCGTGAGACATACTAAATTAATTATTATACATATATTCGGTTTACTCACGTAACTGTTTGACGAGGGACTCGACTAGTTTCAAGCCATGCTAGAGGCTCATATTTTATACAAAGTCAAAATCATTTGAAAACGAAGGATAGACGTCGAAAAAATGGCGGACGTAATGTCACTTAGAAATGATTGAAGCACCAAAATGTCAGTGGTGTATTTATGTGTGCGTGTAATTACAACACCGTAATGTATGAAGTGTAATGACGAGCCACGTCACGCGACAGATGTCCGTCGTGTCAATGTGTGTGTATTTTGCGTGTAAGTCTATAGTAGCCAGGTGCCACAGTCGTTCTTTTAAGAGACTATGTACACCTGTTTTCAACGTCCTTGACATATATTTTTTTTTTTTTTTTTATGGAATATATAAGCCGGTAAACGAGCAGACGGATCACCTGATGGTAAGCAATCGGCGTCGCCCATGGACACCTAGAACACCAGAGGCGTTACAAGTGCGTCACCGGCTTTTTGGGGATTAGGAGTTTGAGGATCGTTGGGGATTCAGGGATTGGGGAGATTGGGGAAGGGGAAGGTAATTGGGCCTCCGGTAACCTCACTCACACGACGAAACACAACGCAAGCGTTGCTTCACGTCGGTTTTCTGTGAGGCCGTGGTATCACTCCGGTCGAGCCGGCCCATTCGTGCCGAAGCATGGCTCTCCCACACTTAAATATTACAATATATATAAATCAGGTTGTTTAAAGCAGCCATAGCCATTGTTCCCAATGTCCCCTGACACCTTTTGACCCAGCCCTCCGTAAAGGCACGCTTACATGGCCAATTTCATCCAATCCTGTTATATGATTTATTTGTTAAATCCATTTTTCACGTGTAAATAATGTATTCGTTTGCTCTTGGAAAATCAGTGTATCGAGTTACAGCGGTGTGAAATGTAATGGGTGAGGCGTGGTGCCACTGCGAGCGGGTTATTATAGATATTGGTTTTTATTTTTTAAGCGTTCATTTTGAAGAGCAGTGAAAATGTGTGTGCGGTTTTTAAGATAAAAATACATCCAAGAAAGATGATGAGACACTCCAATCATTAAATTAAGATTAGATATAACGAAGAAAGCACGTGTAGTATTTGCATGATAGCATGGTAAGATTTTAACTGGACATAAATATTTTAACGTCAAAATTGAGTTACTTACTTTGTTTTTATAATAACTATCGTGAGACATACTAAACTAACTAAAAATCGCGAATTACTCACGTGAAAATACTGAGAAAAACTCTACTAGTTTCGAACCACAGAGGGGTTGTTCCTCATGAGCAGCGTGCGCGGCTCGGAGTGTAGGAGAAGGAACGGGGTGGTTTTTAGTCAGTAAGAGTCTGACACTCCCTCCCGCCTCACCCAGGCGGGAGCAGTCGTTCGATGATTTTCCCCCCTTATAACAAAAGCCCAACGCGTCCTCTGCCGGACACTACGAGCGTTTGCTTCCAACTCCAGCCGTAAGCTCGACTTGGACGAGGGTGGCAATGCCCAGCCACCTTCTCTTATCACCTCTGTGGTTCGGAACTAGTAGAGATTTTCTTAGTATATTCACGTGAGTAACCCGCGATTTTTAGTTGATTGAGTTACTTACTTGATGATTTTCCTTTAAGAAAACAGAGACTAGTAAAAAAAAGTTGAACGCTAATCACCATCCGCTAAAAATCACTACCCGCTGACAGTGACGCCACGCAGTGTGAAGTATCAAATTTTTCATTCCCGCGAACATCTCGCTTGATTATAACACAAACAGACGAATTGTATTGTTTGTTGTTTCGTCGCTTTTCTTTCCATTTTCTATACAAACACATTTTCTGTTTGTTCGTCTAAAATTTTTGGTGCCTAACGTAGCAATTTTACTCCCATAGCTACATTTTTTTTGTTACTTTTATATATCTAGTTATTCTGTGAAAACATTTGTTTACTTTCACGTTTTTGGTGAAAAAGTTCTTCGGACTGCTTTATTATTTAATGGAAAACATTATTACTCTGTTGACCACCATCTACTCTTCCCGAGGGTTAGATAAAATTCGAGCAATAGCTCTTGTCTATCGATATATGAGATACAATAGAAAACACATTGTGTCTCGCGTAGATTTGCAATCTGACAGACAATATGTTAATTTCTCTTTTTCTTTTTTTTTAAACATTGCTCCACACTAGGATTTTCTCCTGTGTCGTGGGTGCATTTACAAACATACAAGTTCACATACACATAACACCCAGACCCGAAACAAACAATTTGTGAATCACACAAAGAGGTGTTCCGTGCGGGATTCGAAACCGTGACATGTCGCGCGGCAGCCAGTGGCCGAGCCACCGCGCCAACCGTGCAGTCATTGGCAACTGAATTGATATATTAGCCGTTCCGAGACGCGAACCTATGCCTTCAGCCAAACGCCACTTTAGCGCTTGTCTACAGAGAGAGTAGACAATTAAATGAATGGGGATGACACTGACAATTAATGTCAAAATTTACGTCAATTCCGTAAAATTTAGTTTTCTATTATACAAGTAGACAAACGCTAAATGGCATTTGGCTACAGCTGCTGGTTAGGCTATGCAAGTTAATGTTCTTGTCGGATTTACCTACATGATAAGGACATAAGACGTAAATTAAAAAAAAAAATTCTTATAATAATTTTACCTCTATAACTCGACGTGCGAAGGTCTTATTATAATAATATCTTATGTAGAAACAATACAAGCAAGAAAGTACATAACATTTGCCTCTCAGCTCACTTGAATATAAATCTTTATTTTCCTGTCTTATCTTGTTCAGATACGAATATGTGAGTTTTTTGTTTCTCTTGATTATAGAGTTATGTAGGTAGGTTGTTTGGTATTAATATTATTTTATGTTTGGAATGCTAGACTGCCTCGTTAGCCGAGTGATCGCAAGTGCGACAGCAAGGGATCTCGTGTACGATTCCCGGGTCGGACAAAGTATTGCTGGGTTT